GTGATGACCAAAAAGGAAAAAAGTGATAAAGTGCAGGTAGTCCTCGACTTACAATAATTTGCTTAGTGACTGTTTGAAGTTACAATGGCACTGAAAAAAGTGTCCCCCAAGCCACAGCTGAGCAAGACAGTGCCTGGCGGTGCTCTTCCTCCTGTCTGAGATTTTCATTGTTGTGAGCATTTCTGTTGAGGATTGGCAGCGGGGTGGTGTTTGGTTTTTATTCCCCACATCTGCTGGGTGGTTGCAGCAGGTTTTGGTCACTTCACATGACCCTGGGACACTGTGACTGTCATAAATATGAATCAGTTGCCAAGCATCTGAATGTAAATCACAAGACCCTGGAGATGCTGCAACATTCCAGCTGGTTGGCGCTTCTTCTGGGTTCAGCGGAAGCACCAGGATCAGTGCTGCTTTCCAGCTGATTGGTGCTTCTTCAGGACTCAGCAGAAGCACCAGGATCAGCGCCAAGTTCCAGCTGGAGCCTGGCCCTGATCCTGGCGCTTCCATTGAGCCCTGACAGCCCTGAAGAAGAGCCGATCAGCTGGAAAGTGGCACTGATCTTGGCGCTTCTGCTGAGCCCTGACAGCCCTGACAGCCCTGCAGCTTCAGCCATCTCTCGCTCAAGCTTATGCGGTGCTGCCACCAGTTCAGCTCATTCCCCTCCCCCACTACTTTTTTAGGATGGTTGCGTACCACTTGCCAGGTGCCAATGTACCACAGGTGGTACCTGTACCACTGGTTGAAAAGCCCTGGTCTACAGAGATCGGATTACATCTCAGCAGAGAATTACCAAGAAGAACAGGAGAAAAAGACATGCTTCATTTGTGGGGCTGAATCTCATTTCAAGAAAGACTATTTACAAGGAAGAACAACAGCAAATGGACAAGCTGCTGTTGCAAAAGTTAGTTATTGTAATAGCAGAGACAAATGGTTAATAGACAGTGGAGCTAGTCAAACAATTGTTAATAATTCTAAGTCTTTTTTTCCAGATTGGATTCAACTGGAGGAGATGCAGTGGTCTTAGCAAATGGCCAGAAGGGAAAAGTCATGGGGAAAGGCAGTGTGCTGATTCCATATCTGGAGGAAATGTATTATGTGTGCCAGTCTTGACAAACAAGGGTTTGAGTCCACATTTGTGGATGGGAGATGTCTCATAAAAAGAAGCAGTATGTACACAGGGCATAAAACAGAATAATATTTATGTGTTGCAGGCACAAAAGATTCAATGTGCCCAAACATTTGGTAATGTGGCACAAAACAATTCATGCATTCATCTCTTGCACAGAAAGCTTGGCCATGCCAGCTTCAGAGTGTTACAAAGGTTGCCAGAGCTTGCAGAGGGATTAACCTTGAAAGGGTGTTAGGGATACTTAGACTGTGCAGTATGTAAATCATTGAAACCCAAGGTGTTCCCAGTAAGCAAGAAGAGCACAAGGCAGACAACAAGGGTTCTAGAGCTGGTACATGCAAATTTAGTAGGACCAATGCAAGCCAGCTTGGGCGGAGCCAGGTATGCGCTGGTCATTGTAGATGACCATAGCAAATATGAGTTCTGCTATTTGCTTAAGAGCAAAACAGAGGTACTGCAGAAGTTCAAGCAATGGGTGAGCTTCACAGAAAGAAGATATAGGCAACAGGTATGCCAGCTGCAAACTGACAGGTGTTCAGAATTCATGTCAACAAACTTTTAACAGTGGTTGGGACAGTTAGAAATAAATCATAGACGCACAAATCCATACACAGCAGCTGAGAATGGTGTGGCTGAAAAATGGAATGGAGTCTTGCAGACCATAAAAGACTCACTGCTGGAGGATTCTGGTCTGAGCAGGTCGTATTGGGGCAAAGCCATGTTGACTGCTAATTATTTGGTCAATAGGCTGTAGAGTTCCTCTATAAATGATACTCCATATGCTGTGCTACATGGGAGAAAGCCATCTCTGGCAAATTTAAGGGTGTTTGGAAGCAATGCATTGGTGCATTTCCAAAGGCAATCAGGAGAAAAGGGCAATAAAAGGCTAGAAAGCTCAGGTTTATGGGCTATGAGCCTGGCTCAAAGATGCAGTGATGGAAGCAGAAGGATAGTAATTTCCAGATCTGCTAGCTTTGCAGAATTGGGACAGAACTGATGCCAATTCTGGAAATGATCCACTTAGTGACAGCTCACTTAATGACAGTGTCAGCATTCAGGGAGGAGAAGCTGATAATAAGCAAGCAAAGGAATCAGAAGATAGTGACTCTGATGTGAAGCAGGAAAGGGCAGTCAAGAGCAGTCAATGCCACGCAGGTCAAAGCGATGGAACAAGGAGATTCCACCTGACAGGTATTCTGCTGGGAAAATAAAGGTGTGTGATGTGTGGTATGAGCCAAGAAACTATCATGAAGTATTGGCACTACCCAAAGTGGAGCAAGTGAAGTGGAAAGAGGCCATGGACAAAGAAATGAAATCCATGGATGAACATAAAGTGTTCACCTCTATGTCTTTGCTACAAGGTTACAAAGCTGTACGATTAAGTGAGTATACAAAAAGAAAGTGTTACCCAACAATGAAGTCCAATATAAGGCAAGATTAGTGGCACAGGGATTGTCACAGAAGAAAAATATGCACTATGATGAGGTATTTGCACCTATGGTAAAAAGTGAAACTAAAAGGTTGGCACTAGCGTTGGCAACGGCACGTGGGTGTAAAATTTGGCACTTTGATATAATCACAGCATTCCTCAATGCAGAGTTGGAGGAAGAAATTTACATAGTTCAAGCACCAGGGTATGAAAGTAAAAAGCGTGGCACTGTGTATAAACTGAATAAGGCTATTTATGGGCTGAAGCAATCAGCCGGAAACTGGAACATCTGTTTAAATGTGGCATTGAAGGGTCTTGATTCAAGAGTTGTAAGGCTGATGGTTGCATATACACTGCAAAGTTCCACAGTGAGGATTGCCAATTATTGGCCTTTGTGGATGATCTTTGCTTCATTGCAAAGGATCTGGCACAGGTGAAGGAATTTGCTAATCAATTGGAGAAAAAGTTTGAGTTGAAAAGTCTGGGTGAAATACAAAACTATCTTGGTGTAGAGATAAAAAAAAACTGAGAAATGTGGCTACATTCTCAGTTAAAGGAAAATTGAACAACTGTTGGAGAGATACAACATAAAGGATTGTAATTCTGCTCCAACACCTATGAGCATAGATTTTCACAACACTTTGGGTGAGGACAAAAGTGAAGTGATCAGGAGATATATCAGTCAGCAATAGGGAGCCTGTTATATCTGTCACAGTGGTCCAGACCAGACATAGCTTGCGCAGTAAGCATCTTAAGTCACTTTACTGCCGCACCAACACAGTTGCATTGGATGGGTATGAAAAGAATTCTCAAGTAAAAGGGAACTGTGAATTTGGGTCTTCAAATACAGGTCTCTGAAGAGTTAAAGTTAAAATGTTATGTTGATAGTGATTATGCCAATGATGTGCAAACCAGAAAGCCCAATTCTGGGTTTGTGGTATTATTTGGAGGGACTTTAATTGAGTGGAAGTCCAGAAAAACAAATAATTGTAGCTATTTCTATTGCGAGGCAGAATTTATTGCTCTGTCTGAACTTTGTTCAGAGGTAACCTGGTATGTACAGCTGTTAAAGGATTTAAGTATAGAAGTTAAAGAAGCTGTAATAGTGTTTGAAGATAATGCTAGTTGCATTAAAATGGCAACAGGTGACAGAGTGAAAAGTAGAAGCAAGCATGTGGACATTAAGTATTGTAATGTTAGAGAAGCCATCAAAAGTAAACTAACTTGCTTGCTTCATTGTTTTTCAGATGACAATCTGGCAGCTGTAATGACCAAGCCATTGGGTGGAGTACACTATGAGAAAAATATTTGGTTTTATGTCTATTCCAGACATAAAGGGAGTGTCACTGTGTAAGAAATGTTATGAACTGGAATAGTCATAGCAACAAACCAGCCAATGAGAACTGTTTTTGATTAAGACACAATATCGGCTGTGTGAGGCATGTGATCCAGCCTAGGTCTGGGCGTGTCTTAGTCTTCTCTGTTGTTCTTTTTCTGATCTCAAGTTAAGAGTTGTTGATGTTCCCCAGAGCTGAATGAAACTATGTATCATGTTTATATATATTTTATAGATAAAGTTTTTCTAAACTATGCCTCCTGCTCATTTGAATATGTGCTTAATTTTTGCACTGGAAAGCTGTAAAACTCTAACAAGGCCAAACATCAGAAATCAAGGATACGAAACAAGTCTTTGAGAGAAGAACCACAACCCTTTCTGGAGGAAAGACAATCATCTTAACAAAGTGACCCTCTGTTCAAACCTCTAGACAGTTTTAAAATATCTGTATGGTTACACAGCAATAATCCTGACCACCTTCGTACAGAATTGTGACAGCCAAGCTGTCATGGAGAAAAAGAAAAACTGGGGAGATAAGTAAATTGTAAATTTTTCTTTTCTTTTTTTTGTAAACTTTAGGGACATTTAGTTTTCAACAGTTGGGCTATACTGAATTATATACATGTAGTCCTCAACTTATAAGCACAATTGATCCCAAAATTTCTGTTACTAAGCAAGACAGTTGTTACGTTTTACCCCAATTTATGTGAGTTTCACCCCATTTTCTTGCCATTTTCTTGTTAAGAGAATCACTGCAATGGTTGCTAATATGGTTGCTAAGTGAATCCGGCTTCCCCATTGACTGCCTGTCATAACATCGCAAAAGGTGATCACATGACTCCAGGACACTGCAACCATCAAAAATATGAACCTGTTGCTAAACATCTGAATTTGATCACTTCACCATGTGGATGCTACAACTGTTTTAAGTGTGAAAAATAGTCATATGTCACTTTTTTTTAGTGCCGTTGTAACTTTGATCAGTCGCTAAATGAATGGCTAAGCTGAGAACTTCCTGTAATGAAATTGTCCTTACTGCCATCAAAATATGATATTCATAAAAAAGAAATGAACAGTTTCATTTGGTCATATTTTTTAATATTTAATGCAATTTAATTGTGTAGATACAAACAGCATCTTCAACGGAAAATAATTTGATTAAGTAAAATCCGATAGCTATGTTAATTTGGTCCAGAATGTGATTTTAAATTTGGTAGATATGACATTATGAGCGAGTATATTTCCCCCAGATGTGCAACATAAATACAGATGCAATAAAAAGAAGACTCATAACGAGAACTGGAACAGGGCCTCTGAAAATAAAAGAAAACAAGAGCTGTGTTAATTATAGGAATAGACAAAATCAAGTTTTAATTATGTATATAATTAATTATGTGTATAATTCTGACTGAAGAAGCTTCTTGGATGAAAAGCAAAATGTCTTAACAAAAAAAAAAAACCCCAATGAAGATCCAATTTTGAAAAAACATCTTTGGGACAATATAAAATATTGTAAATTACAAAATAATTAGAAAAATGTAAAATGTTCTATGTATGAACAACTGCATCCATAGAGCATCTGGTTTCAAGTAGTATACCCAAAACAAAACCTGAATAAAAGGAAGCTGTTTTGTTCTGGATATGGAAAAAAGAATGGTGAAAAGCCAAAGCTGAAATGAAAGGAGGAAGTTGTCATGGTACACCTATGACACATGTGTCAAATGTGACACATCATGACATTTTTCGTAATACAAAAGCAATCACTAACACCCAAAAACTATTCTTGAAACCATATCCCATTCTCACATGATTTTCATAAGTTAAAGAGGCTGCACAAGAATGGGATGTGCTTAGGGAACATCGCAAGGTGGCTTTTTTGAGTGGCAGTGCTGACACTAAGAGCTTAAGTTGAGGCCTCAGAGCTGCCGAAAAGTTTCATCGTTCAGAGTCACCATGGGAAGAGGAAATAACTGTTTCTCTTTGGGGGTTGAAATGTCAGCAGAGTCAAATTAGGAATTTTTCAAACTGACATATCAAGTCAAAAGGTTTGCAATCAATACCATGGTTCCTTTGGGGTTTTGTTTCAGCCAAAACCAGGAACAATCAAAACATTCTGGATTTCTTTCTACCAAACCATAATGGTTTGGATAAATTCCAGACCTTGATTTGTTTTGACCGTTCTAGGGTACAACCCTAGAAATGTGTGCAGGTGGTCCTCAACTTACGATCACAATTGAGCCCAACATTTCTGTTATTAAGTGAGACATCTGTAAAGTGAGTTTTGCCCCATTTTATGACCCCATTTTGTCACAATTGTTAAGTGAATCATTGCAGTTGTTAACATGGTTGTTAAGTGAATCTGGGTCCCCCACTGACTTTGCTTGCCAGAAGGTCACAAAAGTAATCATATGACTCCAGGATAGTGCAATGGTCATAAATATGAGCCAGATGCCAAGCATCTGAATTTTGATCACATGACTATGGGGAATGCCACAATGGTCATAAGTGTGAAAAATGGTTATAGGTCATATTTTTCAGTGCCATTTCATATACTGCATGAGTAAGTTTGGGGACTTGACTACAATGAGGCTTAAAGCAATTTATTATTAAGGATAAATATATCTCTAGTTACACAGACATAAATGTACTTTTTACATAAGAAACACTGTTTATTTCATTTGGGTTTGACTCCTTATTCAAGATTCTATTCATTGCATAAAAATATCTTGCTGTCAGAAGACCTCATGAACAAATCTCAAGCTCTAGATTCAAGAGTTTAAGAAATCTCAAGATCTAGGTTCATTTGAGGTGGAAAAAGAGAGATGATTTTAAGAGTAAAGTGAGAATTAATTGTAAGCATCAAAAGTAATAAGCAACCACCAAATAAAATGTAAGAAAATGTTTACCAAATTTCTGTTCCTACTCCTCACCTGGAAATTCTGTTGAACAAAGTTTTTTCTTAGTGCTCTCCACATTTGCACTCACTTCCATTATGATGAAGTGTTTTGAGAGATTGGTAAAGGACTACATGGTTTCATGCCTTCCCTCTACATTTGACTCATTACAGTTTGCCTATCGGAAGAACCGCTCTGTAGAAGATGCACTTTCCTATATGCTTCATCTTAGCTTGGCGCATCTGGAAGGAAGAATACTCATGTGCAAATGCTGTTTGTTCAGCATTCAACACAATCATCCCTCAGCGTCTGGTGAACAAACTGGGCCTATTAGGTTTTAATACTCCTTTATGTAATTGGATACTTGATTTCCTTATTGATAGGCCCCAGTGCGAGTTGGAAAGAAAGTTTCCAATTCTTCACAGGGCTGTGTCCTGAGTCCGCTACTGTTCACCTTGATGACCCACGACTGCTGTGCCAAATCTGCTACGAATCATATTGTGAAGTATGGAGATGACACGGCAGTGGGGGTCTTATCCAGGATGACAATGAAGATGCTTATAGGGAAGAGATGAAGGCTCTGTTGGACTGGTGCAATAAAAGTAACCTGGATCTAAATGTTGTAAAACAGGAGATCATTGTAGATTTTAGAAAGAGCAGGCATAGTCATACTCCACTCAAGTGTCAAGGATGCAGCTGTAGAGGTGGTCAACACTATCAAGTATCTGGGGGTGTAGATAACTAGCAATCTGAATTGGTCTCTCCACACGTCATCCTTTATAAAGCGTGCAAACCAGTATCTGCATTTCCTGTGTCGAAGAGCACATCTTTCTCCTTCTGTCCTGGCCACTTTTTACAGAGGCACAATTGAAAGTATTTTAACAAACTGCATCACTGTCTGGTTTGTAGCAGCAGTGCCTCAGATAAAAAGTCCATACAGAGATTGGTAAGGACAGCTGAGAAAATCATAGGAAGCTTGCTTCCTAGTATTCAGGATGCTGCTTGTAAGTGCTATGTGCTTAGAGCTCAAAGCATTGTTAAAGATCCCATACATCCACTAAGGTCTGTTTTTGTTGCTCCCCTCTGGGAGGTTTTGAAGTATTTCTAGCAGGACTATCTGATTCTGTAATAGTTTTGTTCCCTATGCCATCCGTCTGGTAAACTCGCAAGATTTGTTTTTCTTGCCATGCACACGTATACATAACCCGAACTAGACTGTTGCTTCTCTGTGTCATATAATATATGTGGGTATAGGGGCGTTGTCTTACCTGAACGCCTTTTCTCAGCATGATGATGGAGAATCCACCAATGGGTTTTGCTTGTCTTCTGCCCGTATAGACTAAGTCAGCCAAATTGCCACGCCCCTCTCCCTGGAGCAGGACCCCAGTCTCGACTGAGGCGTAGGTGTTGGCTATGATTCAAGTGTGTTGGCTTGATCCCTTCCCCGGCACAGGACCTGACTGGCCCTAAGGGTGGGAGTGGATTCTCTATCGTCATGCTGAGAAAAGGCATTCAGGTAAGACAACGCCCCTTCACCAGCATGACAAGTGGAGAATCCACCAATGGGACTTACCAAAGCCTCACTGTCCCTGTGGGTGGGAAGCCGTCTGGGCCTGTGTCCCACTCTCTGATACTACGCATTGGAGGACCCTCCTGCCAAAGGAGGCCTCCGCCGATGCGAACATATCTAACTTGTAGTGTCTTACAAAAGGGGAAAGCGACACCCACGTTGCCGCCCTACATATCTCCTCAATCGGCGCCTGAGTCGCCCATGCTGCTGTCGCAGCGCTGCGAGTGGAATGGTTGGTGACTTGTTTAGGCACTGAGAGCGATTGCCTCTGGTATGCTTCTACTGATCCATCTGCCGATTGTGGACGCTGTGACCCTTCGCCCCTTTGAGTGCGAATGGAAGGATATGAACAGGGCCTCAGATTTGCAGAAGGGTGCAGTTCACTTTATGTATTGCCTTAAGGCCCTGCAAACGTCTAAAGTGTGCCATTTGCATTCCAATTCATGGGAGGGCTGAGGGCAAAAGTCTGATAGCACCACCTCCTGTGTTCTGTGGAATAAGGGAATGAAGGAGGGGTCCAGACGTAGGACCACCCTGTCTGCGTGGAAGATGCAGAGGTTTTCCCTAGCTAATAGTGCTAACTCTGAAATGCGTCTAGCCGAGGTAACGGCGACCAGAAATGCGACCTTGTCAGGTACTGTAAGGTGCAGGTCCGGATAGGTTCAAATGGAGATGAGGTGATGGCTTGTAGGACCTTGGACAGATCCCAGGAGGGATATCTGTGGACCACGGGTGGTCTGTTGTTCATTGCCCCCTTCATGAAGGCTCGCACCACTGGTTGTTTGGCCAGTGGTTCAGAGTTGCCATATGTGAGTATAGTGGACAGGGCAGCCACCTGTCTGTGAATTGTGTTGGGTGCTAAACCCCTCTTAAGTCCCTCCCACAAGTAGTCTAAGACCCTTGGAATAGCAATTTTAAAAGGGTCTAAATGCTGTTTTGCACACCAGCTGCAGTAATTTCTCCACGTGGAGTCATAAATTCTGTTAGTTGTAGGCCTTCTTGAGGCCTGTATCATGTTAATGATGTTTGGTGAATAAGCCTCCCCTTCTAGGAGGCTCCGTTCAAGTGCCAGGCGGCTAGTTGGAGCCACTGTGGCTCTGGGTGTTGCAGAGCCCCCTGGCTGAGGGAGATTCGGTTGTGAGGAATCCTCCACGGAGGAGATATTGAAAGACTTATGAGGTTGGCAAACCACAGCTGTCTTGGCCAGTGTGGCGCAATGAGTATCACCTCTGCTTGTTCCTGCAGAATCTTCCTGATGGTTGCTTGCATCAGAGGAAGAGGAGGGAAGGCATACAGTAACCCCCTCGGCCAATGTCCCCGGAGCGCATCTGCTCTCTCCGCCCCTGGTGACGGGAAGCAGAAGAATCTCGAGAGCTGGGCATTCCTGGGACTGGCGAATAGGTCCAGCACTGGATGGCCGAACCTCTGTGATGTTTCTCTGAAGAGAGCTGGGTGTAGGCTCCACTCTAAGTGGTCTACTGTTACCCTGCTCAGGAAGTCCGCCTGCTGATTCACCTCTCCTGATATGTGTTCGGCCCTGAGGGAAACTAGATTGTTCTCGGCCCAGCTTCCCAGTGATTGGGCCTCGGACATGAGGGATCTGGATCGTGTGCCCCCGTTGACTGACATGGGCCTTTGCCACCACGTTGTCCGTGAGAACTAGGACGTGTTGATTCGACACTGAGCTGCGGAAGTGGCGGAGGGCCAGGTGTATGGCTCTGAGCTCTAACCAGTTTATGTTATGTCTCAGATCTATTTTGGACCATTGCCCCTGTGCCAGTTGTGATTGCAGGTGTGCTCCCCAGCCGAATAAGCTGGCATCCGTGGTCAGAATGACCGGGTGGGTTCC